CACAACAGTGTATTTCAGATTGCAGCTCGAACTCGGCCTCCGGACCGATCTGAATACTTGGGCGGACCTGCACAAAAAGGTGAGCACTCCGACGATCAAGTCAGTATAGGTCGGATTCCCAGTTTAGTTCGAGGTCAGAAATCATCGTACATGATCGTGGAGTGAAGTCCTCTACTTATCGGTGGTAGTCCCGCTAATCTCGCGACGGTTACACCCGGTAATCTCGGGACCGTCGGTTACACCCGATAATCACGCCGCTGACAGTAGCTCACATCGGCCCCCACCAAGCTTTTCGGTAGGTCGGACCTCGGCCAGGTTCACCTCGGCCCTCATACTTAGTATCTGTCAACGCTAGTGGTGGTGATCTCGGCGGTCCGAGCTGGGGCATGACTCATGGTCACCTTGGGGCACCAATGGCTGTTCTCCACGTGTCCAGGATATTCTTTCCCCCAAACAAGCATAATTAATTAAATAAATGTATTTTTACCATGAATGAATTCAACTATTTTGGTTAGTTTATGTCGAAGTTAATAACTTTTAAATAATTATTATTTAAAATGTGTTAACTTATTAATCAAATGTATTAGATATGTAAAAAAAGAAGAGAAAATAAGTTAAGTTTAATGGAAATTTCGATAGTAATTAGTAAATAAATTTAATTAGCATAGGAAAAAAATGAACACAAATTAAATAAACTATTTATTTTGTGGTAAATTACATGTCGGATAAATTTATATAAAACAGTTATCACAAATGTATTAATTTTTTTGTTATTGGTATTGAAAAGTTTACTTCCTAATTTCACGAGAAAACAAAATTTTTAATTTAATTTTAATTATATCAATAAAATAGTTAATATATATAACTTAGCCCCTCTTCTATATATTAATTATGGCAATTTCTACCTAATCAGATCCTTAGGCCTTAATTTGTAGAGTAAACTGTGGAAGTGTTGTTATGGCATTGACATTAGCTATAATCAGTTTTGGAATTTGGTGTCGGTATTAGCTAATAATCTACCACGAAATCCTCAATTGTGTTTTCAAAAGAAAATTAAACAAAATAGGTCCCAACGGTTTTAAATATTGGTGCTGATAGATATTTCTATAGAAGTTAGAGAAAAAAAAATCATAAAAAATATTTAAATTAACAAATAAATATTTTTATATTTCTAAATAAGTTTAAAATGATTAATATTAATGTTATGTATATATTAGTGACATGTTGTTGTTATTTTTTTGATTTTTTTGATATTTTTTGTAATATGATAGAAATGTCGTTTTACTGTTGATATTGAACTCATGGATATATAGAAATGTCGACGGATATTTAATACCATGATCCGAACTTAATTTGTTAAGTCTTAAATTTTATGTCTTTCATTTTTCTCTACTATTGTTGCATTTAGACTTTTATACGAAGCTATTAGATAGGAGACTTTGGATTTGTTATGGGTAAAAATATGTCCCTTCATGTGGGTGAGTGTTAAGAGACGACGTGGCAGTTTTGAACCAAAGTGAGAAGACCGATCATGACCTATGTTGAAGTCACAAGTCAGGGTCTCGACTTCAACTTGACGGTGGTTCGAAATGTGAGACTGACTTGAGTGATCCTACATGTAAGCACCTCACTTACTTGTCGAAAATATGCGCATCACATGATTTATATTTTGAATGGATTAAAAAGGAATAACGAATTAAATAATAAACAAAAAAA